TAAATGTCATTGTTTTAAAAATCTTTAATTTTATTTTAAGATGACTTTTGAAATAATTAATGTCCTAAGAACTTTAATTTTCTTTTAAAGATGACTTCAGAAATAAAGTTTTAACAAGCATTATTTTCTTTTATAATTTCATGAACCTTTTTATTTCAAATCCTTTTGTGACACAAGAATGAATCATAACTTTGCTTGTTTGTTTTTAATAAGTAATGATAGTTAATATGAGGTTATGGCCTCATTTCCAAACATGAGGTTAAGATTAATTATTTAGTTGTATAAGGTTGTAACAATTATCCATCTCCATGAAAATAAACTTATATCTCATCATAATTACCTGATGGATTAATTGACAATCGGGTATGATTAAATAGTTTATTGTTCCCTTTTATTTAGATGTAAGGCCTTGATAGGTGTCGTGCTTTATTTGGCCAATTCCATTAAGCCTAAACACATAACCCATAAAACCTTACAAAATTATCCTTGAGTGAATTTAAACCCAAAGTGAGATTATATAGTGAACCCTTACAGTTTCACTCCAAAAAATACCTTGACCCACTTAAAATTCGTCAATCGGGGCGCATTTGTTGAATTGTCTTGTTCAAAAGACATTTTTGGTGATCACTGATCGGGGTGATTTTCCTCAACCAAGGTAGTTCATTTTACTTTTATGAGTGAATCCGTCAAAGATCACTAAAATCCCACTTACGAAAATGACGTTTATGTCAACAACCCAAATTAAAAACCCAATGGAATTGGTTATTTAAAACATGGCATTTGTCCGAACTACGAAGGTTTTGATCCGTGAGTGAATTCAAAATCTCACTATGATCGGTACGTAGTGTAACTTTGGTGCTCAAACCTACCTTATATTAATTTTTTATTTTTTTTTGTGGTTAATATGTCTTAAAACTTGATTTTGACAACGCAATAGTAAGAGCCCGTTCCATAGAATGGAAGAGAAGACGAGTTCCATATGTTCGATTCTCTTAACCTAAACCCCGAACCCTGTGCCTTATTTCCTATTACGGAGTTAGCAGTTGATTTTTATTAAGTTTTAATTTCTTAAAATTGGTTGTTCTAAAATCTGTCCTTATTCGGATAAAAATAAGGTGGCGACTCTACGTTTTGTTTATAAGTCTTATCAGACACTTAAGTGGAACCTTTTATAGACTAATTTCTGTCCACTAAAAACCAGGTACCACAGTAGCTGTTCTGGTCTCATTGATGATGATTTTAGGAACTAGCTAGATCACTAGCTGGCAATCCGTTTTCACTTGGATCTCTTGGATTTGGTTCTCATGGCACCATTCCGTCGCCACAAGAATACCTTTAACTGCATGGATGCAATGATTCACATAAGACCGATAGCCTGTCTTTCCCGATGATGGTCCCTCAAGCAACTTCTCTGCAGCTTCATCTAGTATGGCTTCTAGGAATTCTTGCACGTGCTTTGCTCTTATTTCATGCCCCATCTGCATGAACGATAACTCGAACACACCCTACCGATTCTTGCCACAGGTCGATGAAGAGGGGTCTTTACCCTGTTTGAAAGTTGTTGTTTCCTTTCGTTCTGCTCAGTGCCACTGCTTCAGCATATGTTTTTTCCCACCAAATCTTAGTCTCCATTAGTGCAGCCAGATCCAGATTCATATTTCGAAAAATAACCTTATTCCAGATGGCCCAAAGGCCTGCAACACAGGGAGTTTATTCATTCAAACCTCAGTCCATCCTCTCTTATTAAAACATGGATCCATGACTTCTCAGCTAGAGTTCCAATTGAATCCCTTATCTGTCCATGTCCAAGGCATCACCCTTAGCTGCTGGGGGTCGTCCTTGTACCTATGCATCCTTGAAGCATCTATTTGACTCCCTTTGCCTTGCTTTTCGAATGGTGCGTGTGCTTTTTCATTTGTGTTGCCACACGAACGATACCCTTGTAGCCCCATAACCATGCATCCTCGAAGCATCTTATCTAATCATTCGCCTTCCTCCTAATTGCAGGCTGGCAATTGCTTGTATTTATCCCCATATATATTATATATCATACGAAGCAGGCTAGATAGGTTATTCTATCATCTCCAACCGTACTTGTACAAAAGGTCACTGTTGAACATTCCCATATTTTGTATTCCTAATCCACCCTTTCCTCAAGGAAGCTCTAGGAGATGTATGTTTCTCCAATGGATGGATATGTCATTACCCTTAGATGCCTAGAAGGCTAGAAGATTATCTTAAATAGGGAATCAAGGGTGTCTGTAATCTTCTTCGCTACCAAGAAAATTGAGAACACATGAATGAAAAGGGTTGAGAGGATACCATTTAAGAGCACCAATTTGCTTGCCTATGAGTGTGATTTCGAAATCCATGAGGAAAGTATAGCATTCACCTTATCTATCATGATAGGTTGTAATTATTATACCATGCATATTTTATTTAACGACAAGAGTAATTTAGACTACAACCCTCATTATTCATTGGTCCAAAATTTAAGAGTTGAGTGCTGGAATTGGCTTGGGGGTTGGGGTGTTCAAATCCGGGTACCCAGAGTTTGGGGTACTTGTTTATTTGTCCCATGTCACCATGTGCCGACCCGAATATCTTGATACCCGAATTATTCGGGTCGGGACATAGGGTACCCGGATTTTTTAACGATTGTAATTAATTTGCACCCAAAAGGTAAAAAATTGAAAAACAATTTAGATCTACTATCCAAAATCCACACAATCGAACAACCAAGATACAAAATAACCAATTACACAAAGCTTTGTTTCAATAATAATAATAAAATTTGAAACATACAAAGAATTAGAAGGAAAAAATATATAATTAGAAATTGCAAGTCTTGCAACAGTTAATTATATAAGAAAATATAATTAGAAATTGTAATTAATTAGCTCCCAAGGTACTGTTGCAAGTCTTGCAACAGTTTCAACTTGAAACATAGAACACACTCCAACGCAACGACCACCGCGACATTGTTGGGCGAAGTAGCACGCAGCGACCACCGACGACGCAGTTAGGCGAAGCAGCAGCGAGCCTCAGACGAAGGTGGGCAAAGCAGCGGTTGAGAAGGCGATTGATGAGAAGAGGTTTGAAAGTTTGAGAATATATAAAGAAGTAGGAAGAGCAGAGAAGGAACTCAAGGAATAAGAAGGAAGGAAGAAAGACAGAGAAGTAGGAACAGAGAGGAAGCTCGGAAAGGAAGAGAGAGGTAGGCAGGAAGAGAGAGAGAGAGAGAGAGAGGGGAAGAGAGAGAGTGGAGATTGTGACTTGTGAGGAAGGAACCATACCCTAATTTTGTTTTAAAACAGAAGGGGCATGTGGGGATTGTGGGCTGGGCTTAGTAGCGATTTTTTTTTTAATATTAATTTATTTCGAAGAATTTGGGTACCCGTGAATTATAAAATGCGGCCCATGTCCCGACCCGAATAACAAACATTTTTTCCCGGGTCGGGTATCCGTCCCGAAAAAATAGCATTTTTCCCCAAATTTCCTGTCGGGTATTTACCGGGTCATCGGGAAATCGGGTCGGGTTTTTTTGAACACCCCTACTTTGGTGGGGGGAGGGGTGTAATGGTAAGGATTACCACTTTTTTCTTCCAAACACCTTTGATTGAATTGGCAAGATTTGAACCCTAAAAATAGTGGGAAATGAAATTGAGCTAAAAACATAATAATGTAAACGAATTTCAATACAAGAGTTTGGAAATGTATCATTTCAATACTAAGCATGCATATTCAAGTTATTAACTACATGGTCTATGCCATTCTGTCAATTATTAACAAATTATGTGTCATCCATTATTAAATAATGTTTGATTTAGGGTTTGTTTAGTTTATCATATGTTTACTTATCTGATCTAATTTGGTTGTTGGATTTGACCAAACTTTGACCTTATGTGTAAGATAATCTATAAAGGAAAAATACATTAGTTGGGGTCTTGTTAAATTTGTAATCATGTGTATTTATAATTTATTTTATTTTTCATTATAAAATAAAATATATTTAGCGAGAATCTAATGTGAACTTATTTATTGTTTAATAAGTAAAAATAAGGTTAACAAAAAATGGTATTTAGGTAAAAGGTTTAACCTTGTAGCTTATAAATCATGAAATCAAATTCAACTACTATTATTTTAGTGGGGATTTCCTTATCCTTTACCTGAGGTATAGATTCAGTAAAATTCTTCTCTTCCTTTTTTTACCTTTCTAAAAGTTTAAAATAACTCTTATTAATAGTGTTTGAATAATAAGATTAATGGTTGTTCTCTTCAGCTTAAGTTCTATTTAGTTTAGTTCCTAATTTTATGATGTTCCCATCTCCACTTGAGCTATCCTTCCATCTCTGAAAATAACTAGTTTATGATGTTCCCAAAGTTTACGTTGACTCCCCAAGGCGGCTAGGCCCCTTACAAAAAAATTGGTAGTTCACTTTGAAGATTGGGCCGTGATCTTGAAAGAAGGCCCATAATTTTCCATCGTCCTCCAAGGCTCCAAGAACCCTTATTTCCAACCTCTGTTATAAAACCCCAAATCAATCTTCCTTTTCCCAAATCGTCTTCAACCTATTCAAAGAAACCCTAATTCATCGTCTTCAACCTCCCTCTTTTTTGTTTCTCATCATTTTCAATCAACATTTTCCTGCATTTTATTTTGTTATTCATCAGTTTTCTTTAAATTTGCTTCACGAGGCGTTGCGTTAATCGGCTTTTTTCGATTCCGATGAACGTGTCAAGGGGAGCATATATTAATAATCCTGCGATTTCAACTTCGATTTGATTTTTTTCAAATCTTTTGCAACTGCGATTAAATTCTCGATTCGTAGTTTGCATTTTGAAGTTCGAATTTGTGACATTTAATTTTGTAATTAAAATTGAATTTATTGTTGCTTCATATGGTGAACTCTCTCCCTGTAAATGAGAAGTGTTCTAGTTTCCGAAGCATAAATTGATTAAAATTGCCAGTCTTAAACAGCTCGATGAATGGAGTAATCTATTAATCTCTTTACTTTCATCGCGTTACCTGTCTACTGGTACATTTTCGATACTTACATTTTTAATACATTTGATTCTGATTAAATTGAATTGAAATTCATGTTTTTGGATGCAAATAAGTTTTTTTTTTTCATGTTCAAAACTTGTTTTTTTGAATCTGTAATCTTGTGAATATTCTTGAAAGTTTTGAACTTGGTTTGGTACATTTAAAACTTCTTAATGATGTTTTAAGATGTTGGATTTGATGATATTGAAGTTGAGTTGAACTTAATAAAATAATATTACAAAATGTGTATTTCTTTAAATTTGGTAAACATAGAATTAAATTTTGTAAATTATAGGGTTTCACATTTTATTTCATTGCACTTGTGTGGCGAATAGAAATGTTCAAGGTTTAAGCGATACATAGACTTGGTTGAGGAATACTGGACTTTGGACTTTAATTTTGGACTCTTGAAAACTTGAATGTATAATGTATGAAGAAGATTAAAGTTGGTTAAACAAACTACTACGTCGAAAACTCGGAATTTATTGAGACATTAATTCATTCTTATCTTCTTGCAACTCTCTAATTTACATCAAACTATATCAGCTGTGTTGCTACATCAAAGATTCAAGCGTTACTAAGTTACAAACTGTATTAGTACTAGATTTACAACAAATGACAAGTTATAATGGAAATATGGTTAGGTTCAATTTATTCTTGTGCTATGTTTCTTATTGTGGAAGAGTGACCTATTATGTGAGATTTCTTAGTCAGTACAGCAGCGATACATGATAAATTTCTCCATGGCACGGCCACATTCTGCACAAACAACCTTGTCTGGAACGCTCCCAGTTGTGCCTGGTAGAATGAGACGGTTGCAGTGGTGTGGTGTTTGGTTTCTTTGCAAATAATCGGTTATTGCTTGCACAAAGCCTTTCACCGGGACATCTTCTTTCCATTCTTCAAATTTATCCAAGCACATCATGATGGTCTCACCCTTGGCTTTGGTCATCTCTGTCGCCCCCCTGCTGATCAAAGCCCACCCTTGATCACCTGCATCGAAGCTCATCATTGTAACTATCTCTTGCATAATGGGGTCATCCTGCACCGTCTTTCCTTGTTGTACCTTGGAGTGCCACATGCTCTCTAGCCGCACCCAGAAGTACCACACTAGAGTTACATCAGGCAGTACATGGCTCAAGCCCTGAGAAGTAATCTCATCATTGATCTTACGGATTTTTTCCTTGAGGTTGCTTTTACCAACATATAACATCTCGAGTGAAATTTGAGCAGCTTGTGCAGTATTATGTAGTTTGGCGGTAAATTTCTGTATCCACTCCAGGTCTTCTCCTCCGTACATACATATATATTTCTGGTCTTGCATCTGTTACAAAGTACACTCATGAGCTGATTAAAAAACAAGACTTCATGCTCTTACAACATTGACTATTCGCTACAATTTTATATTACATTTTTATCTGTTTGATAAATGATGCACTTGTATATGCATAACAGATGCTGGTTAATCATGTCATATATCTGTAAATTGATGTTTTGCTTGTACACTATAGAACTATAATATATGCATTATTATAAACAATGATAAAACAAGGATTTAAGAAAAGGAAGCATAGGACTGTCATACCCATTGGAAGATCATTGGTTCAATGGCGTCTGCCAACAAATCGAGCCTCCATTTCTCTTCTGCCCAAAGAGCTTCTTCCCTTGTTCTAGTGAAAGGAAATGCCAGACTCCCCCAAATCCACATCATGTATAGAGCATTGGGGTTAGTGACTCGACCTTGTGGATCAAGGACGACAAGCATGGGCTTCTTGCTGAAGTGCCACACCTCCTTTATATACCTAAGAACTGCAGGGTCAATCATTGAAGGGTGATAAACAGTGTACCAAGGCATCACTGATTGTAGAGTTTTAAACTGTTCTTGTTTTTTATCATCCCAAGGGGAAGATTTGTCGACCACCGGGAGCCACACTACTTCATATTGACTTTCCACCCTTGCTGGGTGTTGCCTTGATTCTTGGTACATTTGATCAAGAATTGAAAGTTCTTCATGAGAAAAGTGCAGGTCTGTAATTAGTAGTATAACATTTCTTCTCCTCAATACATCTATGCTTACCTGTATGAGAATGTGTTTTTGTCAATGCTAAGCTATTTTATTTGCAGTTATAAACTGCTCAATTCTTAACCTTAATCATAAACTTCTTGATCTTTTGTGTAAAATAAAATTTAGCTATAGCAACAACAGACAGGAGCAGAGGAGTAAACAGTAAACAAACCCTTTTGTTTCCTGAACCATCCCAAAGGGGCAGTTGATCGTCCTTGTAATAAATCAGAAGCCTGAGAATTTTCATGTTGTCAACATGGGGTGTCTCAAATGTGCGAATAAGCAGCTGGTATGCTTCTATATGTTTCTTTTCATCTGCATTACACAAGAAAATTTAATTAGTCTTGCAGAATACATGCATAATATGTACATAGAGTATACATTATTATTATGTGCATTGTGATTATTTCAATACATATATCTCAATAATTGGTGAAAGGTAATGTCTGCTACATATTGTATGTAGCTTTAGCTTACCAATGTGTTGGTAGCAGAGATCTAGCTGCTTTCGTAGATGTTCATATATGCTGCTGACCTTATGAGCTAAGCTTGACAGCTCCCAAGCCTCTGTTGTTGATGATATATACCTGATTGTATCCAAGCATTATTTTAGCATATTAACTGCTTGTGAAGTTTCAAGATGAAAATCTAAAATAGATAAAACAAAAACTGTGAAGTATGAATTCAGGTAACAAAATGTTGTTATAAGTTCGAATATCTGCTGACTTGTTTATCGCTTCTTGAATAGTTTATCTGTATGTTAGTTCTCTTCATAGATTTTTCAATGATGGCTTATAAGCATCATAGCTAATATTATGAACTAAGATGTCTTGTATTAGTGATAATATGGTAGGTTTACTCAAATTATTCATCCTATAAGAGAGCATAAATTAGCATGTTCCTTAAAATAAAAGCTTAAGAAATGTTCAAATAATGACCGAGTTGTTGTTACAGATTGGACTCATAAAAGCAAGGGGAGGATCACATACTCGTTACTCATGCTAATTAGACCCGCAATTTGTGATGCACAGGCCAGTATACTCCTGATGATCCAGTAAGCAGCTGTCGGGATCAAAGCATCAGCACTTTCATATACCGGTGTATCTGCAGTTATGTACTGTGGTGGGAGCTCCTTGAATTCCACGATACATTTGGTAACGTTTACCATGGCTCTGATTAAATTGCCAATTGCTTCAAACTTGGGTTTGAGGCTATCTGGGTGCTCCATTATCTCAGGAAGTTGCTTAAGGATTGCAACAGATTTTGCCAATGAGTTTACAGTGTAGAGCTGGGCAATTAACCAGAAATCACCATAATACGTAGCAAAGGCTGCAAGAGCAAGGACCACTTTTGCATCCCAAGAGTAGCTTGAGACCATGTTGAATATTGACAGAGTTGTTGTATGTGCATCTCCACTTCCAGAACATTTGCAAATTATCTGTAATAAGAATTTCACTCCATATCAGGTTAATCCCTATTGGTTGATGTCTTATTCTAGTTTGTTTTTATAAGAGCAGACCCACTGTTTGATGTCATTGCAAATATCTTCTTCTGATACTAACACTTAATCGAAATGACAATATGGATCCTCTATGTTTTTACATAAAGGTATAGTTTTAATACACTGCTATATGCTGCTCTTTTCGTTATCTTCATAATATATGAGATTTTCTTGTTTCTAGTTAAACAGCTTCTGAGATTATAACTAACCTCGTTAGAGATTTTGTTTATGGTGAATGCCAATAGTTCTATCAGCTCTCCATAACCAGCTTGGAATGCCTTGTCATCTAGAGCATCCATGTGTGCTTGATCTCCCTGTTACATGTTCAATTGCAGACAATTCTATAATCAAAGCAGCCAACTTTATGTGTATCACAGATAATATTATATATGGAGTTGCATAGTATGGGATTCTGTACCTGAGTAGAGCCAGGGACAGTGGGTGCAGCACGGTAAAAGATGTCCTCAATGATGTGAAGTAAAGGTTTCACATCAATGTCACGGCCATCAGGGGCATGTGTGGCTCGAAGTTGGTTCAGCATTGTTGTGTCATCAGAAGCCGAGAACAAATGTCTATCACCTCTGAACCGATGTTTCCTGCCAGGTGCAGTAGAACTTGCCATTGTTTTGGTAAATTTGGATTTTAATAAATGAGCTGCTGATTTTATATTTCTCCTTCCATACCTTTTATAGTTTCATCCGATGGTTAGTTTTTGGAATAAAGGTCAAATGAACCTACTACCTTGCTTGTAACAGGGTCAAAAGTTTTGATCAATTGGCAAGGTTAAGAATTTTAGGAAAAGAACTTGACTGGCTTTGTAAGTTGTCCTTTCTTTAAATATAGATAGTCTGAAGATTCTTATGCTAGGAAACTCGAATGGTTTTGGTACTATTACTGCCTGAGATCGATTCGTCTTCTTGAATTCTCATTTTTCCTCTTTGTATGTAATTGGTATTTTGATGGCTAAACTGTCTGAGAAATCTGGGATTCTTTATTCTGAAATCTTAACTGGTCACAACTGTCACATAGTTTTATTGTATTATATTTTGCCTGAATGAAAGACTTCTTATAGGTTTTTCAGCATATTTCTTGTAATATGACTCAAGAATCTCAAAAAGCAGCAACTCTTTCCTCTTAGGAGATGCATAGTCAGAAAACATGCTTTTGATCATAATAAGTACACAATTATAGTGCGTTACTTTTGTTATGAGCATGCTATATGTAGTTAGGTTATAGAAAAAGCTGAGAAGATAACTGAAAAGAGAATTCCCTATGTCGAGGATCAATCTCTAAAGCTAGTGTATTATGCTTCTAATTATGATATATTGATATAATATGTACACTTAAAAGTCAGCTTTGCGTATTAATATTTTACTGCTTCTTAAATTGCAGTACAACATGCCTATCCTGTTCCATAACCACTGGCTTGCCCAATGTTAGTGTCGAATATTCAGAGATAACTAATTTATTGAGGCTAACTCTTTTTTTTATATGGTGGTGATTTATCTCCATTTTAGAAGTAAATTTGGTAGAATACATGTAACATAGGTGAACTGCAGAGAAGATTTTCCCATCCTAGCATATTTCACCCAACATGTCCATCTGTTTTTGTAAGTAACACCAAAAATGTTTCTAGTTTTGCTGAAAATTACTTAAAGTAGTCCTTGAGATCAGAGCGAACTAAAAATCCGCTCCCTGAGAATCATCTACCCTGCCTCAGCTGCTACAAGGATCTCAATGCTTTCTGAAACCTCATGCTTGCTTGCCCTTTTGATGTTTATTATGCTGTAGCTTTTTACTGATTAAAAAAAACAGCCTTAGGATCATTCAAACTATATCTTTGCTAGTATTTACAAAATCCCTGTTCAATGTTACTATAATCCGTGGATGAACTGATATACAAGTACGAGTACTATTTAGTGGCAGTCCTATTAAAAGGTCCATGTATGTGATGAAATATATCAATGTTTTTAAATTATTGCTGGTCTAAATCATTGTCTTAAAAAATGGATCTTATTACATGATCTGTGACATCCATAGTTCTATTAGAAAAGTGCATCATTAAGCATGCTTGTTATTTTGTTTCATGCACCAATTATTACTGATGGCATGATCACCACTTTATCAGAAGAAAGGCGGATGAAGAATGCATCAGCTGTACTGCTGAAGCAGGAAAAACCTGGACTGTGCTGTCTACATATCCACTAAATTACCAGGTATTTTTTTAGCTATTACCTAAGCAAAATTAGAATTTTTACTGTGCATTGGCTTTGTTGCTGCCCTTTGAAACAGCTTGGTACTATTCTACCTTCATCAAATTTGCGGGGATGATTTTTAGTTAGCTAGCTATGTTTCAAGAGACAATAAACATTTGACAAGAGATTGAACTGAATAAACCTTAAGCAATATGGAGTTGGATTTTTATTAGCTACATCTTCCTAAACACGGAGTTGCATTTATTGTTACTTAAACAACAGTTAGAAAGTCTATTATTCTTATTTGGAAAACCTACACTACATCATAGGCAATTAGCTTCTCCATTGGACGCTTGCACTTCTTACAAATGACAGTTTCTTCCATTAGCTCTTTATTATATCTTATCATATTTGAGTGGGAGCATGGCTCAGTTGGGGGAGGTTCCTGAGAAAGTCTAATTGCATCTACCAAACCAATTTCTGGCAGATACTTTTTCCATGTCGAGTATTTACTCAAGAACTGAGTCCATTCATTACCATGAAGCTTTACAATATCTGCTGAAGAACCCCTACCAAAGATCACCCAATCTTCATCGTTATCATCTTTACAGGTATCTAGCAATTCTTCTACCTCTCTTAGAATATTATCAGTGTCAGAGGTCTGTTGGAGCCTGAGTTTTGATCGTCTGATACTTTCAAGGCGCTTCCAAAACAAAGATATCTTGGACACAGTAAGAGTGTGACTTAGCTTCTCTTTTTCTATGGAGGAGACTATGTTGCTTACTATAACACTTTGATTTGTCTTACCAACATAAATCACCTCAAGTTGTGCAGCTAAGCTTTGAATATCTTTAATTTCTGCACTAAACTGTCTTACCCACTCAAGCTTACTGCTTCCGTAAATGCAAATTGTTCTTTCTTTTTCTACCTGACATTATTATGAAATCACAGTCAGTGACTCAGTGTTCAAGTTTACAGCAATTATATCAGAACAGAGTTCAAAATTTCAGAGCAAAGATCATACCCACATGGTGAACAAAGGGTCAATACTGTCAAGTAAGAGTCTCAGGTTCCATTTTTCTGTGCTCCACAGTTCCTTTTCTCTTGAGGCTGAAAAGGGGTATGCTTTGGCACCCCAAATCCATACCATGTCAGCAGCATCAAAGTTAGTTATCATACCTGTAGGGTCCAAGGCAACCATAATGGGCCTTTCGTCGAATTTCCATTCCTCTTTTGCATAGTAGATTGTTGCTGAGCTGAGTAACCATGGTTGTCGAATTGAGTACCAAGGCAAGGAGTTTGATATAACATTGAATATGGTGACTTCATTGTTGCTCCAATTCTCGGAAGTTGATATGGGGATCCACAGGATATCATAGCTTCTATCTTGCTTATCATGGAGAAGATGATCATATGTCTGTTGACCCAGTAAAAACAACTCATGCACAGGCAGGAGTTCTGGTTTTGAAATCAGCAGAACAACCACATTGTTCTTCAGTGAGGTGATTCCAACCTGTCACAAGAAGGTAAAAACCTGTTGAAATCTCCTTGGAAAATAATTGATATTTTATTGACTCTGATCAAGTTGCAGTAAGTACAAGAATGGAGGACAAGCTATCCTCTTAATAGCAAAAACAGATTATATGGCAGTTAGTCTTTCGTTAAAATTAAATTAAGTTATCCTCAGATTATCAGGAAAATTTTGATGTAGTTCTCCAAACCTTTTCTTGTTAATAAACATAAATTATGATTAGTGATCTTTTAATTCTTTTCATTCATAAGAAATTGTTACTCTGTATGATGTTTGTGATATCTGCTGAATACTCTGAATCTCAATTTGGATTAGTATGCATGATAGGTTTCATTATTAAACTCAATCTAATGTGGTCATATATTCTTGGTTTACTTAGGCTACATAGAATATAGATCACCAACAAGTCTAAGTAACAAAAAGAATGTATTTTTCTTTGCTGAAATTTTAGAAATAGTAATTTAAAGTCAGGAAACCTTTGCTTGCATAGATGATTGCTTTAGTGGCAAGTCATTCCTCAGTCCAAATAACATCCGAAGGATTTCTTGGTTGTCAATGTCTGGCTCCTGTAATGTATTCATGAGCTTCCTGTGCATCTTCTGCTCTGCATTTTGAGCCAGATAATGAACCAATTGTCCTTAAGATAAGAATACTACCTCGGTCTGGATCTAGTTGTCACACTACAAGTTTAAACTAAATACTCGTATATGTTAGAGACTATTTTATACTCGTATTTACTAATTTACATACCTGTCTGTTGCTGGCAGGCGTCTACCTGTGTTCTAAGCTGAGAGCCAATGCCGTTAATCTTGCTTCTTAAACTTACAATCTCCCATACAGCACTTGATATTGAATATGGATCCCTGAAGTCAAAAAATCCGGTTTAACAGTCAGTCTCCTTATTCATAAATTTGGCATAGAATATTTTTTCTGTATATTCTTATTGCAAAACTTGAAAATATAAGCACTGGTAGAAATAAATATGAACTGCATAACTGAAAGGAAAGAGGGTGCACTTGATCATCTTCGATGGCTCTCAAATTTGTAACGATAGATATGCTGACAATAATACTCCTGATGATCCAATAAGCAGCAACATACATTAACGATTTTGTAGTAGTTACAGTATCATCCTGCAGTTCTACATAGGTTATTGGTAGACCTTCAAACTGTGAAACACGCCTAATGACTTCTACCATTGTTTTAACTAATGAGGTCAATGCTTTAAAGATTGGCTCAAAAATGTTGCTGTCTGGAAAATGCTTAAGTAATGCAATCGACGCAGCTAACAGGTTCTTGTTCTGTGACTGCATTATGATCCAGAATTCACCAAAGACTGTTGCTAAAGCTGAAAGAGCTAGAAGCAGTTTTGCATCCCATCTATATTTCCCAAGTAAGTCAAACACGCTTAATGTTCTTTCGTGCACATTTTCATCTCCATAGCACTTGCAGAGTATCTGTCATTTTGTATTTTCACCTCATCAATCATCAAATAACAGGATTCCTTTCGTCCCAAATTGAACTTCACACTAGGGATTGGCTCAAAGATTATGAATAGTTCTTTTCGCAAACACCCCTAAATGGAAATTGCAGAGTTCATTTTGGGACGTAGGAAGTAAAGTTAAGTCCTTCTATAGGGTTGAAGGTGAGGGGATGTTAGTTTGAAGAGAAAAACCTCGCTTGATATCTTATATATCGAGTCTTCTAGTAGATCTTGTGATTCTTCTACCGCGGTGCTTAGTTCAAGGGGATCCTGCTGCTGAACAAACACCTGCCATGACACCAGGCTTAATTAGCTGCTATACTTGTATTAATGTATCAATTTTTTTGTTTTCAGCTTTTTTCGCTCTTTCTGTATGTCTTTTGGGTGATGGACTTAACATTTATGCTTATTCAATTTTAATGTTAAATGTTTGTTGTTACATCATTGAAACAAATGTGTGGCAGCAAAAGACTTAAACTAATTTAGTGGACACCTAAATAATTTGGCAAGCAGGTGTTATTCATACTACAACAACAACAACAACAACAAAGTCTTAATCCCAAAATAAGCAGGTGCTATAAGAGAGCTAAAATTTACTTGTGATGCAGTAGCGCGATGCATGATTGTTTCAATAACTCGAAGCAACATCTCTGAATCAAGTTCGCGTCCATCTGGATCATGCATGATAAGGATCTTCTTAATGAGGACGTCTTGCTCCGAAGAGGATGAGGACTCTATGTGAAAACTTTCGCCGTAGAGGTAGCTCAAGGCCATCGACCAGTGACTATGACCTATGTACCGAGTTTATTAAGTGACATGTAGGTATGGTATCTATGCTCTGCTTCTTTTAATTAAAATTGGGTTGCTGTTTAAGAAAACAAAATGATTGCTAAAATAAGATGAGAGAGTTTTTCATAGTATAAGATTTCATCCTACAAGGGGTAAGGTATATAGCTAGTGGCATTATCACAGTATCACAGTATTACAGTAGGAAACTTTTGCTTTATTATATTTATATGTCACTTTAAAAAGTGTAATTGTGCAAGTTCTGTTTTAGCCTGTTGAATTATGCCTTCCAAATCTTCACAGTAATTAGTGGATTTAACCATATAAAGCGAAGTTATGGATTAATCCCATCGTTTGTTAATATAATCTAAAAGCGTTTAGGTTTCGTTATTTGATCATACAGCAAGAAAGGTTTAACAGGTTTTAATTTAACATTGGTTTTAACTTTATAACTGACTCAATTATAATAAACCCGGCCTATCCAACCTTGAAGTACACTCGAACTAGATAACCATTATATGGATGAATGAAGTAGATTAATGTTCCATAATAATCTAAAAAATAATAAATTAGAGATTAATTATCATCTAATCTGAATGTGTATGTGATAAATCAGTGTAATTTACGTTTTTGTAGACAAAAAAATAAAGAGGCACACTTTGTGTTACTATCTTATCATTTTATAATCCTTTTTTCTGTTCCAAAGAACAAAAGAAAGTGAGAAACCAATAACTTATTGGTAACATATCAATCTTCAGGAACAAACATCACTTTCTTTAATTTTATTGTGCTTAAATGTTAGTGATATGGTCCTGCACTCCTGCATAAAATTCTTGCGTTATTAAGTGAAGAAAGAATAGTTGATGCCTAAGCCGGACGAATTCAAACCATCAAGACTGCCAAAAAGGAACTCTCTCCTTTATTATACTCCTTTCGTTCTTTAATATTCTACTTAATAATTATAACCCGAATAAATTTTTTAAATGAGATGGAGCATTACATGGATTTGACCCAAGAGGTTAATTACGGATTTTAACACCCTCTTGTACATTTTTTTAGTGTACCATGCATGTATAATACGATATAGTGTCTCAATAAACTGAAAAATAAGCATCTTAAATAGAAAGTAACAGTAGCATAGCCGTACATTATATAGACAAACACATGTCTCAATATACTGGTTATGTTTAAGTCCAACAATACCTAGAGGTGTTAATTTAGATGTCTGGATCGGATTCGGTAAGGTCGGTTCGGATCAGGTTTATTTTTAAACTTAAGTCATGCTAATTTTTTTGTGTCCACGCGAATTAAAATCTGAATTGGATTTTTTTTCGGCTCCATTTTGAGTCAAATCGGATGTGATTTTGACACATCTAGTAATGCTTGCTAAATTGAACTAGATGGAGATATTGTGTAGGAAGGTTCTCATTTTCTCAATTATTGCTTTAAATGCATGATTTCAATGTTAGGGGATTCTCCTTTGCACTCTCATGCAAGATGTATCTAAGTATATTTATTACTCAATTTGATGATTACTACTCATTCAATCATCAAATGATCGTAATCTTGAGTGCACTTTACATCTGGGCATATAGTCTATATAATAATGTTTATTCAAGCATTAGATTAAATTAACGAGCTAAATTGTATTTTGACCGGAAATTTTCTCTGTTTCAATAAAATATTTTTAGTGTGGGAGTACGTACTCGTTTTTGTTGTAGATGTAAATTTTTTTTATTCAAATCCCTGTGTTGATTTATGTCCAAATATACATATTACATTTTTTAAAAATAATAAGGACCTATACTGGACTTGAACCCTCACGGTTTTTTCGGTCCAATAAATGCAAACCAGACACTTACGAGTTACGAGTACAGTAGAGGAGAGGTTAAGGGAATCCCTACTCCCAAGTTCCAACTTCTCAAGTGTCCTCACTTGGTAGGATTCAAACTCCAAACCCATACGATGTGAGGTAAGAAACTTACCAATTGAACCAATTTGTTTGACTAAGGGCATGTTCTCATACGATTATTTTCAGTTCAATTCAGTTTAGCTCTAATAAGTTAACTTTAATTCAGTTCAGTTCAATTCAGCTCAGCTCAATAAATTTTACATATACTTCATACTTCGTATAACATTCTAACGGTCTAAAGTGACACATTAAATCTAATTTCAGAAGCCACTGCAACATTGCATTAGTTATTCTTAGAACATCTATCGATAATATAACATGAAAATCAGATCATATGAACTTTGAGGGCACCACCTAGCTTAGCTAGCTAGCTAAGTGACCGTACAAATAATATTGTTTATTTAGCTTCATTTGATGCATGTCAATAAAACTGCCCTACAAAATAATGTACCAACTTATAACCACCTTTAGGCTTTAATACAGTATACACTCATTTCATTCTCCAAATTAATTTAGATAGACACTTTACGTCCATTTTCAACACTACTTTGGGGACATAACATTTTGTGGAAATGAAAGAATGGATTTTGTGAGGGCTTCAAACTACCCCTCGATCTCCTCTTTTAATGTCACCAACTTTATCCCTAACAAAATTATTAAGCTACTAAAGATAAGGGCCAACTTTGTCCTCAATCACTTAATATGGCGTATTTATTTATTCTTTTTTTCAAGTTAAAAAGACTCCAAAACAAATGTCATCATAGTCGCAACTCTTGAACTATGGACAAGCTAAGACGAGTATACAATGCTCATTATACAAATACGGAGTATATGTACAAGAACGACATGATTTATGAATATGTTTTATTACATGTTACACTTGTGCTTCTCGGATTTTTCTCATATGCACTCATATTTGTAATCTAATTTGATTTTTTTCACATGATCTCAATTATATATATAGATGGATTGTGAAGGGCTGGACAATCATATACGAAGTACTACGTATATGAAATGGCATTGCATGTGCAATCATATACATTTTTTTTATTTACCTTAGAGGCTTAGATAAGAATGCTAATGAATTCTAATGAAATAATAATCAATGTGGTCATTAACTCATTACGTATAGTTACTCTTTTATTTGAAATTTTTTGAGTGTAGAAATCCAACCATATCAATTTTCTTTCATTAAGATTGTGCTACATCACACATTCACACCCTAGGTTATTATATTATCACTTATTACTACGTTTTTTGGTACCTCATATATAAAAGTCTAAAATGCATGCAAAAAATTTACTCTTAAGTCTTGGATTTATATACGTATTAAATTGGATGATGTCCACATAAGTTATTATAATACTTGTATGTGACAATTAATTTCAGTAAATGGATTTAACTTTGAAATGAGATCGAGACATAATAACATTTTATTTTACCATTTAAAATGTCACTATATTATGATATAACGGACACATATCTGTAATTGGACCGCCATTTGGTGGCAAACTAGTACCTAGGCCACGTACTAGATATCTTGTGCCGTTTAACACCAAACTTTATGTAATCTCGCTTGGTTGAACCACGAAGTCAACAAGGAAAACCAATTAGTCATTGACAATGCAATTATGGAGTTTTGAAATAAATGGACTAAATGTCTATTTTTAGTTAGAGACATTGACTTTATGGTTTGTAGTTCATATTGTGGATAGTTTGGGATTGAAATCGGTCATTTTGGTCTTGTATTGATGTCTGAAATTGACTATCTTAGCTAGCTAAGTTCTTCGATCAGTCTTCAATTAGTCAAATGATAACAACTCAAATAAAGAATTCCCATTTGAGAGATTGAGGAGAGAGAAAATAAAGATTAGTATGGTTTAAACATGCACATTATTACAACATTCAGGATGACTGAATGAGCATACTTTGTGTTACTAAACGGATCAACAATAACAACAGCAACAAAAACTTAGTCTCAAGATGATTACGTTATATAAGTTTAAAATAATATGATGATGAGATCTTTCACAGAATATTATAGCTCATAAAACTATACAAGCATCAATGTCATTTATAAAGTACAACAACTACAATTATGCATATGAAGGTTTGTTGAGGTAATTGCAATATTTCACAAAGGATGCTTATTAGGGCATCTACAACTTTTTCCAGTTTTCATGAATAATATAATTTCTAACGTCATTGAAAGAGTTAGTTACACATGCAAAATATATGATACGGAGTATTAGGCAAGATCTACGCAATGGCCCGGTGTGTGTCAATGTCATGCATGCATATACGACCATGTACGAGTTGTTTGTTTTGGTATTTAAGTTGTAGGGTCTTAAAACACCTTGAAAGGTACATATAAGTTTATAAACTTACTTTAATTTTCAAATGAGATGTATTGGTCCAGTGCGATTAGAATTAAATTCGAAAAATAGTGACAAGAAATTTAGAGCAATGTTTGGAAAGAGTATTTTTTTATTATTTTATTATTTTTATTTATTTTTTTATTTTAATTTTTGGCTTGAAAACGGATTTGAATAAACCATTACCAACCATTACCTAGTGTTTGGTTAGAAGGTTTGAGTAGCTTTTATCATTACCTAGGGGTAATGGTTGAATGGTTTCCACCTATATGTTACTGTTTTAAAATCTAAGATAACAATTACCCTTACTCTCCTCAAACAAAAATAAAAGAAGTTAGGTTAAGTGATTTCTTTTCATGGTTAAACCAAACAAATGAAAAAGTAATTGTTAAATAATAACTTTTCCCCTTTTATTTGTTTCCTTTCCATTTCGTTTTCAATATTAACTTCTAGTCGATCTCACGGTGAAAAGGCCTCGTGTTGAAAATAAAACTTAGCTTTACTACCCTTTTGTTCACCAGTTCACGTATAAGAGAGTGTTGAGCCTATGAGAAAACTCACATGTGAATGAAAGTGTTGTCCCACATTAAAAGAGTATAAATGTGAAGACAAATATTAGGATGTGTATCCCATCTTGAATAAAAGAGAAAGTCGTACTCACTTTATAACTTTATAAGGCTAAGGGCTACTCCCATCATAGTCATACGATTTTGAGGTGGAACCTCTTTAGTCGCATCCCGCTTATCAGAGAGAGAGAGAGGGGACAATAATTCTAGTGCAAGACTTGATTAAAAAAATCTAGCCTGGAAAAAAAATCTTTTTGTAAGACACATACACACGAAAAAAATAAATAAATAAATAAAATATCAAAGTAGAAAAAACAAAAAGGATCAAAGGAAACTCTTAATAGCGCTCTATATACTCCCTAACGTTTTAGAATTAATTAAGCAATGGTAGCTGATTAGTTAGGCGAAAAAA